ATATATACATACATTTACTTTTGAAAACTTGTTCACTCGGCTTCGCCTTGCACGCATCTTTTGAAAACTCTTCTTAGTTAATGTCTTAGGCGGATTGATGACTTAGTTTTCTTAAAAGACTTAAATTGCATCTAAGATTCATAATAACTTTAAAGAGGTCATCTTGGTTCAAACATATCACATAAAAGAAAAAGGAAGGAATATACAATTTATGAAATCACCACACTTAGTTCATGAAATTTCAGCATACCAAGCAGTAGTAAAACAAGTATAGATTTTAGTACACAAATGATATAAACGTGAAACCAGTGGCATTTGAAACTTAAAACATGCACCTACAACTTTCATTTAGCACTCAAAAGCAAATAAGGTCATATACATGGTCCAAAGCCAGCAAATATTCAAATCTAAAATACTGTCCAGAACTTTAAAATAAATTCATGCGCGGTTTTACGAAAACAGGTATCATTCACCACTCGGACCATATTTTTGCTTGATTCCAAAACCACATGAAAGGTAACACATAAAACTACAATTTCAGTGAAGACGTCAGGTTCATTTGAGCACATTATCATATCATAAACACACAAAACATCCAGACCTAACTGCAGCCGGATTTAAGAAAAACTGCTCGCGCAATAATTTTGTAAAAATCATAACTTACTCGAATAAACATATTTTTCTAAGATTCTAGCAGACACATAAAGATAACAGAAAATAATAACTTTCTTCAGAAGAACTCACCTTCATGAAACCAGTTCATAAAGGCCAAATTAGACGAAAAACACAGACATAAAAACAGCACATTTCCAGTTTTTCATTCATACAAAACTTCATTAAAACATCAATAACTTGAGCTGGAAAACTCTAAATGATAAAATCTCACATCTTACAGAAACTAAACAAGTAGGGTTACACTTTTTATGAAGAAAACTTAAGCATTCGGGCACGATAACATCATCAAAACTGATCCTACATTCAACATGCCTAACCTGCCACTGCTATGTAAAAACTGGATGCCAACTCGACTTGTAAAAATCACATAAAATTCATTTGAACTCGTTTTTTAAAAATTCCAACTCCCTCTAAAATATAACTCAGATAGCTACAATTTTTTGTTCAGCACTACAGCATATAAGCACGATTAGTTCATCAAAATAGGCCATACGTTCAGCACCTATACACAGCCCGACATTAGAAAAAGTGGACACAGAACTGACTTGTAAAAATCATATAAAATCCATATGAACTCCGATGCCCAAGATTCCAAAACCTACAAAAACATAACGAAATTTGCCACATATCTTATGAAGAACACATTCCCAAGAAACAAGTTTATGATTGCCAAAAATGGCTCACAACAGAGGCCATGAAATCTGAATTCATCAACCATATTTGAACAATAAAACTTTTAACTCCTCAACTCATCACTTCAGCCTTGAACTTGAACTCTAACATTTTAATAACACATTTTAAACACATAAAATCCATCATCAATCTCAACTCATGCTATACAATTAACATAAGCACATAATACACAAACCAAGTTATCAATCCTTAATTAAAAATATTAGAATTCTTCCTCTTGATTATCAATCTCTTAGAATTTACATTAGACTCATAATTCTCGGCCAGAGGAAAAAGGATCATGGCTGGTTTACCTCGCGTAGGAAACGAGAAAACGAAACGGCTCGGTTGTGCTAGAGGACTCGGCTCGACGATGGACTGCGGGGGCTCTCGGTCGTGGGCTGCTA